GGCCAAGAGGAAGCCTGGGTCTCCCCCCTCTATGCCCAGTGCCATCCTGTTAGTACTCATTCAGATGACGCTTCATGCAGGGAGCAGTTGTATAGCAGAGGAAGCTGGCTCCTCTCCGATGCTCTCTCCTTGCGGTGCCACCTTGGAACTCTGGAAGCCACCAGGTTTCCTGGGCTTTGTGGCACAGGCCTTGGAGGGGGAGGGTGCTGGCTTGCTGTGGCATGAAGATGAAGGCTGTGCTCTGGTCATTGAACCTGGTGATGCTCACAGGAAAGATCAGGAAGGAAAAGATAGCAAGATGGGGGGTGGGGGGGGGAGCGACTCAAAAGGAAGTGGACAGTTGCAAAAGCAATAAGGCATGTGCTTCAGTGTCTTATCAGGAACCGTACCCAGTTGGTCACTGGCGGAGCCTATCGGGGGAGTGGGTGGTCAGCTCGGGCCTGGAGAAGTAGTGACCACGGTGCCTGGTCCAGGAGCCCCTGCCCTTGGGGATGGAGCATGGGCCCTGGAGTCAAGTCTCTGCTACTTCTAGGTGTGTCCTTGGATGAGACAGGTAATCTCACTGGACCTTAATTCTTCATCTGTAAATTCTTCACATAATAATAATGATTGTGAAAATGAAATGAAATCATGCTTAAAAAGCACTTAACACAATAGTAGCCACTAAGTAAATACCAGTTGTGGCCGTCATGATTATATTGAATAGCATGAAGGAAGGAAATTCTATTGAATGAAGTGACCATCCCCTTGTCTCTGCTCTTGACAAATTCTTCCCTTGATTTCAACTTTCTGGGATGCCATATTACCTTTCTCACCCAAATTACTGATAATTTTTCAAGATTCTGTCCAATGAAGAAAAATTAGCCTCCTTCTAAGGATAAAGTGAAGTGACAGTGTGATTGAGGTGACAAGGCTGACACAGAGAGTGGCTCTGGCACCGCTGCTCAAACCCGGTCCCGCAGCCTGTGGGCTCAGCCACTGTTTTTGAGCAGAGAGTGACGGGCTGTCTGATGATGACAGGGAAGCACAGCCGTCGCCTCCATAGGGATGAGCTGAGGGACCCAGCCTGGCTGGGGGGCCAGGAGGCACCCTGAGACTCAGCAGTGCTGCAGGGATGCAGGGGTCTCACTGGGGGGATGCAGAGCTGGAGGCCGTGACTCCCACCGACAGTCTGAGGAATTCTCTTGGGGTCTGCCATGCAAGAATTTTAAAATCCTAGCAATTATGTATTCATTATGAATCATTAATGCAAGAGGCTCTGTTTTTACATTTAGAAGATGATAGGGGATCTCCTTTTGTTAAAAAAAATATTTTTGTATTGATTTCAGAGAGGAAGGGAGAGGGAAAGAGAGAGAAACATCAATGATGAGAGAGAATCATTGATCGGCTGCCTCCTGCACACCCCGCACTGGGGATTGAGCCCGCAACCCAGGCATCTGCCCTGACCGGTAATGAACCGTGACCTCCTGGCTCAACCACTGAGCCATGCCAACCAGGCGGGGATTTCCTTTTTAAATATACAAACACACATAAAAACAATATTAGGTCAATGAGAATAACTGTGGTTACCACGCATGGAGAAAATCAGGACCCCAGAAGTCTAATGCCTGAAGCCTGGGAGCCTGATTTGGTACCATCTTTTCTTTTTCTTTTTTATGGTAGAGAAAACTGAGGCTCAGAAATACTGAAAGGCTTGCTCAATGTCACAGAACGAGTTGGTGCCCAAGTTTAGTCATATGAAAATGTATTTCATTTCCCTCAAACCCCAAGATAACAGGAAAAGTGATACATCAAGTTTGCATTCTGGGCGACATTTGATAAATGATTCTCTGCTCTGCTGGCGGCCAGATTCTCTGATTAGAATCTTTCTGATGCTTTCCCTGTTTTTTCTCAAATTGATTTCTCTGTCTGGTCTTCCTCTGTCTCCCAGGTCCTCCGCCATGGTGAGAGGCCTTGGCTTTAGAATGAGGATTTGGGGCTGAGTCACTGGGCTCTCCTGGCTCCTGAATCATTAGGTTACATCTGACTGTGAGCTGGGCTTCGCTGGTGATGGGGCGGGACAGACCCTGGACTTCGGGTTCAGATGGGTTGGAGCTCAGCTTGGCCTCTGCTGTGGTGTGTGGCCACGAGTTTAACCCCTTCCTCCTTGGCTGCCTACCTCATGGGGTTGTTAGGAAGAGAAAAGGAGACCAAGCTTTTGGAGCTGAGATGACTCTGCCATCGACGGGGCTCCTGTGACCTTGTCAGAAGCTCCCAGGCACATGCACAGCGACTAAACCATCCTGGCGGACTCCAGAGGGCACCCAGGGCCGACCCTGCCCTGATGCAGAGCCCGGACACTGCTTGTGCTTATTTATCTCTTTCTGAGAGTGGAAAACTGCCAGTCATGCCCTGGCCAGTGTGCTCAGTGGTTAGAGAGAGTTTGATTCCCAGATGTGTCTAACCAAATGTCCAGGTACTGTGGCCTGGCCAAGTTGGCACATAAGATTAACCATCACAGTATATAAATATACGAGTGGCCCGGTGCATGTACCTCAGTGGCAGGTTCCATCCCTGGCCCCAGTCGGGATGTGTGCGGGAGGCAACCAGTCAATGTCTCTTTCACATCCATCTCTCTCTCTCTCTCTCTCTCTCTCTCTCTCTCTCTCCTTCCCTCCCTCCTATCACGCCTCCCTCCCTTCCACTCTCTCTCAAAAAATACATAGAAAAAATATCCTTGGGTGAGGATTAACAAAAAAATAATACCTGCCATTAATAAACTAATATCACATACAGGATTTTATGTTGATTTTTGCAATAATTCTCAGTAATTATTTTCATTACTGTCCTGGTGAGGAGGGAACTATAGCTGGGACCTGGGGAAGGGATCTGGCCCTGGTCATCTGGCTGGTGTGTGAGTGGTGACCTGCGACCAGCCCACAGGATCTCTGGCTCCTGGACTGGGGCCCCTCCACTGTCACTGCCTGCACTGAGCTACGGAAGTGCAAAGGGAGGACCCGACTGCCAGGGGTTTTGTCCATGAAAGGGTCCTGAGTACCTCCTTCTGTGGGTGAGAAAGAGGCCCAGAGAGAGAAGGGAATGGGCAGATCTAGGATTAATCTCTAATTAATTTCTAGCCAAATTAGGAAAATCAGCTCTTTCCATACAAGTGAAGATGTTGGTGGCAATTATAGGCTGTAATGTTCATTAGGAGCTAAATTTCTAGAATATTAGAGGGAGAGAAAGAGAGAGATTTATTTTAAGAAATTGGCCCATGTGATTGTGGAGGTTGCCAATTCCAAAATGTGCAGGGCAGGCCAGCGGATCCAGATCCAGGGCAGAGTTGACGTTGCAGCTGGAGCCGAAGGCCACCGGAGGCAGATCTCCCTCTCCCTCGGGGGAGGTCAGTCTTTTTCTATTCAGGCCTTCGACTGATTGCATGAGGCCCACCCAGGAAGGAGGGTAATCTGCTTTACTCAGGCTACTGAAACAAAGCTAACCTGATCTAACACATAACCCTCACGGCAGTATCCAGATGTGTCTAACCCAATGTCCGGGTACTGTGGGCTCGCCAAATTGGCACATAAAATTAACCATCACAATATATAAATATACTAGTGGCCCAGTGCACAGATTTGTGCACATTGAAAGGAAATTAATTAGAAGAAATATTTTAATATCACTATTTGCCCTTTCTCTATAATAGAAGTGTCAGAGATGAAAGACAATTAGTAAAATGTATATGAAAATCCTATATAATAAAGAGGTAATATGCAAATTGACTGCCATGCCCTTGCATAAGATGGCCACCCCCATGTGGTCACAAGATGGCTGCCACAAACGGCCAGCAGGGGAGGGCAGTTGTGGGCGATCAGGCCAGCAGGGGAGGGCAGTTGTGGGCGATCAGGCCAGCAGGGGAGGGCAGTTGTGGGCGATCAGACCAGCAGGGGAGGGCAGTTGGAGGCAATCGGGCCAGCAGGGGAGCAGTTAGGCATCGATCCGGCTGGCAGGGGAGTGGTTAGGGGGTGATCAGGCTGGCAGGGGAGTGGTTAGGGGCAATCAGGCAGGCAGGCAGGCAGGCGAGCCAGCAGTCCTGGATTGTGAGAGGGATGTCCAACTGCCGGTTTAGGCCCTATCCCTGTGGGCAATCGGACATCCCCTGAGTAAAAACACTTTCAGAGTGCTTGACTAATTTCCCTTGTGATGAAGTATTTACTTTAACGTCACACGCTCTTCAAACTTGGGAGAAAGCAACATATAACTGACCATGCCCAAAAATGGGTTCAGGTAGGAATATTCCTACTCTGTCTAGAGTTTGTCCTTGTGATTTATTAATAGTCACCGCAAATGCTGGCATCACGGGAAACTGTCTTTGAATTAATTTAAATGGGAGGCCAGTGTCAGACAGGGACAAATCAATTCTTAGAATCAGAACAATCTCTCCTTCTGCAGATCCTGTTAATACTTCAGCATCGATTATCTTAGGTCGCCTTCTTTTGATAATAAATGTAGTACCGTTACAAAGACCCCATTTACTATTAAGATTTCTCAGTAGCATGATGATGGCACCTACTTTCAATTTTAATTTATGACATGGCATTCCTGAAGGAGTAATACTATTAAGAAATTCAATGGGAGCTTTAGATGTATCACACATGGGCAAGTCAACGTTTATTTTTAAATTGCCAGTGCGCGGACAGTCAGTCACTTAGCCTTTTCTATATATAGATAATGTGCAGAATAACACAACTAATATTTACTGACCATTTATTATGGGCCAGGTGACATAACCTCATTGAATAATTCCTAATGCTGATTATGGTATGGTACCTGACACATAGAAGTACATGATAGTTTCAAATTTAGAAGACAATTTAGAGTAGAGGTAATGAAGGAGGGTTTTGGCATCGGGCAGACCTGAGTTCAAGTTCTAAGGCTGCCAATATCTGAGTTGGGCAAATTACTTAATCTTTCCAAGTCTCTTTCCTCATCTGTAAAACAGAATTAAAAATAGTGCTTACTTCATCAAGGTAGCAGGAGCTTGATAACTATCTACTGACAAAATGAGTGTTGAAGGAGCCTCCTGGGTTGCTATGAGAATTGAGGGAGATCATTTACCTGAAGCCCCTTCCACAGTCCCTGGCACATGGTGGGGACCCGCTGAGTTTAGCTGCCTCATCCTGTGATTGTTTTTCCTCTTGACATCTGCACACTCGGAGGCACGGCTGGCAGCTGCTGGCATCCACCTAATAAGACTCGGTAAGACGTGGCTTCCAGGAAGGTCTGGCCGCTAAAGGACAAGACAAGACAGAAATCTGTTGCCTGACTCAGAGGCTGGCTTCTCATACTTCGACGCCTTCCTCAGGGCGGCTGGTTTTCTGCTGGTCCCAGAACTCTTTTCTCAAAGCTCTGGCCAAAGCAGGGAGCATTCTCTAAAGAACCAGGAAATGGGGTCTGGAGCTGGGTGAGCTCCCCGTGCCTCTGCCAGCGCACCCTTCTCCTCTTTGCAGGCCTGCCTCTAATGGAAAATAGCTGCCTCTCCTCCTGAGGTCTGTGACCTCCCTACAAACACTCTACCCATTAGGCTAATCATTCTCATTTGTTCTAAAGCAATTTTCACTATTTATAAGGATTTCAGGGTTACCACAAATCAGCATTGTGTTAATTAATTCATTCATCAGTCAATAAGATTTTGTCATGGAATCCCAGCTCTGACACAAACTGTGTGACCTTGGTCAAGTTTTTTAATCTCTCTTCTATGCCTCAGTTTCTTCATCTGTAAAATGGGGATGATATTAGAATCCACTCAAAAGGCCTATTATGACATTTGAATGCATTAATCTATGTAAAGCATGTAAAAACATGCCTGACCCCTAGTAAGTGCTAAATAAATAGTAGCTATTACTATTATTATTATTACTACTGCTATTCTTCCTCTACCTTGTGCCAGGGACTCTACTGGGCATTGGGAAACAGCAGTGGACACAACACGGTCCATCTCTGCCTTTGTGATGTTTATATACTTGTGACCAGGTGGGAAAAATAAGTAACAGGTAAAAATAAAAATAAAAAACCAGCCCACAGGTGTGATTATAAACTGTGATGAGAGTTCTGAAGAAGTCCAACAGGAAACTTTGATGGAGACGCACAGTGGGCTGGGGGAAGGACTTAGAGGGACAGGCCATGGAAGATGTCACTGACCTGCTATTATTTAGGTTCATCTCTGAAGGATGAGAAGGAAGGAAGGAAGGAAGGATGTCAGAGTCTCTCCTGGGCATCGTATGTCTGTCTATTCATCCAGGCCTTGCACCCACCCTCGGAGCAGGCGCTGTCCCCACCCAGATGGGCCTGGTCATGACCATTCACACATCACCCTTAGCTTCTTGCTGCCACAGCACGAAGCACAACCGCTTAGCTGGACATTTGAGATGCTTCCACATAGAGTTACAACATAAGTTTCCAGTTTTATTTCCTTTTTTCATTTTGATGTTCATCTTAAAGGTAATTTGTACTTATATAAGTAATATATGAATATATTTTCCTCGTGAGAACTTAAAACAATAGAATAGAGGTAAATTTAAAGTTTTTTGGGGTTTTTTTTTTTGTTTGTTTTTTCCCACTGTCCCCCTTCCCCATCTTGATCTCAGGTGCTTTCCTGGAGGTAATACTACAGTCAGTTTGCTATGAATCCTTCCTTTCACACATGTCTAGAATCTATGATATATGGATATATCTAAAGAGTGTATAAAATGGTCATGCCCGGCTGGTGTGGCTCAGTGGTTGAGTGTCAACCTATGATCAAAGAAGTCACTGGTTCAATTCCCGGTCAGGGCACATGCCCTTGTTGTCAGCTGGATCCCCAGTAGGGGGCGTGCAGGAGGCAGCTAATCTATGTTTCTCTCTCATCCATATTTCTATCTATTTCTCTCCCTCTCTCTCTAAATATCAATTTAAAAATATATAAAAAATAAAAGAGCACAAACAAGGCAGCTTTGCAGGGACCAGAGCTGTGAGGATGGGTGCGAGGCTGGCTGTTCAATGTCTCTGTTGGCTCCAGGCCACCGGCCTGAGGAGGGGATCCTGGGGTGGGAGGGGCCCTGCTGGCTGGATTGGGGGCTCCAGGAGGGCAATGGGTGTGGGTAGACAGGTGTGAGCTGAGACTCTGGCCCTGGGCTGATCCCTTGTTATGTTCCAGCGACAAGTAACTTCTTGCCACTTATTTCTGTGCTCCTTCCCAGCTCTAGGAAGAACTGTTTATTAGGGCTGAGCCCCCACTCAGAGGCTGTCAAAGGTAGAAAAGCCCCTGAAATCACTTCCAGCCCAACCCCTCCACAAACATGCACGGCCTGTTTGTCTCCTATGGCGGCGGCTGTAACATAGGCGCACAGACTCAGGGGCTTGTTAAACAACACAGATTCATCATCTCACAGCTCTGTAGCTAAGAAGTCCAGCGCAGGCCTCGTTGGCCTGCAGTCAAGATGCCAGCAGGGCTGTGTTTCCCTCCAGAGGCTGGTCTGCATTCCTTGGCTCGTGGCCCCTTTTCCATCTTCCAGGTCAGCAGTTGGGTTGAGTCCTTCTCACGTGGCATCACTCTGACCTCCTCACCTGTCTTTTCCACTTTGAAGGGCCCTTGTGATTACACTGGGTCCAGTTCTGTGGGGGTGGAGGCAAGTCCACAAAGTGCTCGAGGAGAACAAGACACTCAACAAGATGCCAAGCTGCTCACCCCAGATGGCACGGAAATCTGAAAACAACGGCCCCCCGGTCTGCTGGCCGAGCCACGCAGCCCTCGTGGAGGGGAGATCTGAGGCGCACAAGTGGAATCAGGGGCTGCCAACCAGCCGACGGGAAAAGGAAAGGCCCCTCCGATTGTTGTGGGGAGAAGAGGAAGACCAAAGGCAATATTATCTTTCACCAGCCACTCCCTGTGGGGGAATGAGCTTTCCACAGAGTACAGCCTCCTTAGCAGGACAGGGAGGAGCTGGCTTGTTCTTCACTGGAAAAGCCTAATTATAATCAGGTATCACATCAGTGAGAACTGGGGTTACCTGAGGTCAATCCGAGCCACACCCATGGCTGTGGCATTGAGTGTCTCTGGCCTGTTTCCGTGTGGGGGACTTTAGATTTAGGCTGCAGAGTGTCCCCAGGTTTGTGAGGAGTCCTGGCTTCTGTGCTGTCGGCTGGGGACATAGACAAAGTTCTGAGCCAGTTCCTGTCCCCAAGGGGCCATGCTCTTCACCGCGTGCACGGGGCTGTCAGTTCAGTGTAAGGGGACAGAGGATTGCCCTCCAGGAGCTCGGCGTCTAGCAGAGAAGCGAGGAAAAGGCCATGGGTGTCAGGGCCCGATGCCAGATTCAAACTGGGAAAGAAATGAGCAGGCTCAGCCGAGAGCCCTGGCCCTCGCAGGTTGGGAGAGGACTTGGGGGAGAGTTTCCCAGATATTAAAAGAACGGCTTAAAATGACCAGAATCAATCTTTCTCCCCTTTTAGCAAAGATGGGCAATACAATGTTTATCCTCTCCCAGTCCTCGGGGACTTTAGGCCTCTTATAGTTCCCCAAAATAACAGCTGATGGCTCCATAAATGCGTGTTCAAGTCCTAGAAGTGTCTCGAGTCCAGCACCAGGCCGCTCCTTCTGGCAAATCCCGGCCTGGCAGCCGCCGCCTCCCGCCTGGGCCTGTGTCCGCCTCTGCCAGCCGGAGGCTTTCGGGAGCCAGTGTGGGAGCAAACTCCCATGACTCACGGCTGGGGAAGCTGTCAGGGTGAGGGGAGGCGGGGGCACACCAGGCCAAGGGAAGGGAGAGAGGGAAGGAGAAGGAAGGGGGAGTGGACAGGAAGAGGGAAAAGGGTCAGAATAGGGAAGAAGGAAGTAAGAGGAGGGAGGGAGGAAGAAAAAATGGGGAATAGTAACAATAGTAAATACTTTCCGAGAACTGACAATTTTCTTCAATTGTATGAAGTCCTGAAAACGCACACTCACCTCCTTAAAACGCACACTCACCACCCTGGCTGGTGTGGCTCAGTTGGGTGAGCACTGTCCCATGCACCAAGAGGTCCCTGGTTCGATTCCTGGGCCAGGCACATGTCTGGTTTCAGGCTAGGTCCCCAGTAGGGGGTGTGCAGGAGGTAGCTGATACATGTTTCTCTCTCTCTCCCTTCCTTTCTCTCTAAAATCAATAAAAATGGGTGGGGAGATTGACAAAATAAAGAGAAAGAGCACTCATGGACATGACAACAGTGTGGTGATTGGGAGGGTTGGGGGAGGAGGGCATAGAGGGGATAAATGGTGATGGAAAAGATAAAATAAAATAAAAATCAATAAAAATATTTTAAAAACTGACAATCACCTTTAACCCTGAAAACAACCCTATGGGGTAGGTTCCTCTATCAGATCCTTTTTTATGGATAAAAAATAAGATGTGAGGCATGGAGATCTTACTCTAAAGACAAACAGGTTGGAAGTGGTGGATTCAGATGTGAAAAAAAGGGGGGGAAAGCTGGCATGGTGGTTGGGATGGAGAAGGCGAGGACAGTGTGAAGGACAGGGATGAGGTCGACTGGTGTGAAAGTGCCAGGGTGTGGGGGACAGAGATCAGGGTCCTGGAAGTTGGAATCTGGCTCATGGGGATTGTCTCTAAGCAGAGGCGAGAGCCCAGCCTACTCCCCCGGGAATTTAAGGGTAGAGGAGGCTCCTGGCTGGGATGGGCTTCCTTGGCAGGTTGTACTGGAGAGTTCTTGGTGACTTGTGAGCCCAAGACAAATACAAGGCCATCGTTAGATATGGATCCTTCCTTCTCTCTCTCTTTTTGTTAATCCTCACCCAAGGATATTTTTTCATTGTTTTTTTTTTTTTTTTCTTTTTTTTCAGAGAGAGTGGAAAGCAGGGGAGAGACAGAAAGAAAGAAACATTATATGACAGAGACACATCAATTGGTTGCCTCCTGCACACACTCCGACCAGGGCCAGGATCGAGCCTGCAACCGAGGCACATGCCCTTGACCGGAATCGAACCTGCAACCCTTCAGTCTGCTGGCCGATACTCTATCCACTGAGCTCAACCAGCTAGAGCGATCCTTTCTTCTTAACAAAAAACATACAGGTGCCACGAATATAATCTTATTTCATCATGCTTGGGGGCAAGGGAATCATAGAAACAAAGAAAGGAAGTTATTGACATAAATACAAATGGCTTCTCTGTGCCTTAGCACCTGTCGGTCACTTGTACATCAGTTATGTCATGTGTGATTCCTGTTTTTGTGATTAAAAAAGGGTTCGGAGAGAAGAAATTCAATTAGTAAGAATCTGGGGTCTGAACTCGGTCTTCTCCAGATCTTTAGCTCTTTGCTGTGCACCACATTCAAACTCATGCTTAGGTTCCCTCCAACGCA